ATATTTTTTTTGTCTTATTTCATTTTCGGATACTTCATAAGGGTATATTAACGCTAGGAATGAAGTTCCTAAAATCATTTATTCACGAATATCAGGGGTTAGTATAAAAGTATTTTTAAAACAGGTTCCTTTATTACATATACTGGCGTTTGACAATTTATATTTTACCTTTAATTTTCAGAATTAGTGGTTCTTAAAGTTTGTAAAGTTTTTTCATAGTATTTAGTAGGTATTAATCATTCTCTTATACAATTTATATCAGCTCGGACTCTACCAAGGTCTGTAAATTGTTTATGAAAATTATTCTCAATTTTTAGTGTAGTTTTTATATGCTATTTTTGTTGTAAAATCTTTAGTTGATTAACCTTTTCGAAGTTGCCATATCATATAGGATGGATTTATTATTCATTTTTTCTTCTTGTATTTCATTTTTTATTTTTAATTCTATTAATTGATTTTTAATTTCTTTTATTTCTTCTTTTAAAAGACTTATTTCTTTTTGCAAATCTTGCAAGTTTACTCGGTTTTTCTTTATTTATTTCCATTTTTAATATTTTTGAGAAATCATAACCACTTACTTCTGAAGTTTCTGCGTCTTTTTCGCTTAATATTAAAGTTTTTAATTTAGTTAAATATTCTAACTTATCTTCTTCATTTGGAAGTTTGTCTACCATTTCTAAGGCTATTCTGGTTTCGATAGTTAAAACATTAATATTAAATATGCAATCACAATTTTCTTTCTTCTCATTTTCACTTGTGTTAGTGGTATCTTCATCTTTACTACTACTAGTTTCTATTAAATTATATTATATCTTCTTCTGATTCGTATAGTAATATTTTTGTTATTTGATATTTTACTTCTTCACTCATATCTAGATTTTGTATTTTTTTTCTCGACTACAGTCTTTTTTCATATGTCCGTATCTTCCACATTTATAACAAATTATTCCTTTCTTTGAATTAGTTTGATTATTATTTATAGAAGGTTTTGGTCTTATTTTATTTTTAAAGTTTCTAGAGATTTTTCTATTATTATTCTGAGAAAATTTTCTTTTGATTATTTGTTTTTGCTTATTTTTTCTAGAAGGAGGATCTAATTTTTCATACCCATATTGAATATAGAAATCTCCCAATTCTTTTGTACCACTTTCTTGTTATCTTTTAATCTGTTTTTCTAACTTTAGATTATTACATATTTCCAAGGCATTATTTTTAATAGTTGAAATTATTTTTCCATATGTTATATCTTGCAAAGGTTCGGGATATTTTTGGGATAATTTTTCTCATACTTTTATTGCAAATACTAGGGATAATCCAACAATAAATCTTTCTTTTCAAAATGTTTCTTTGTAGTCTGTTCTACTCATTACCATGATTATAAAATTATCTACATACCATCATAAATCTCCTAGAGTGGGACATCTTAGATTATGTGGCAAGGTACTAGTTTTTTCTTCAAAGGTTTGTTTTACTGCTGTTAAAATAAATTGTCTTTAATCTGCATGGATAGATAATTTTCCCACCATCCTTTTAAGGATCGTGTAAATCCTAGGATTAATAATTGTATTATTTGTTCTTCCGAGGTTTTTGCCTTATATGCTGAGGCAACCATAACCATTTCATTGGTTTTTCTTAATAATTGATAATCAGTTAATCCATTTATATTCCATTCGGTTATTCCTGTTCCATTAAAGACGGATGGACTTTCTAAATTTCATTCTTCAAATTGTATATTTGGTAAGGTTGGTCTTCTATAATAATTTCTAGTAGTAGGCATATTATGGGTGGTTGAATATTTACATTAAATTTACTTCCTATTCTATTTATCTTTTTTTCATAATCTATATTTTCTAGGTTTCCTAGTTCTTCTTCTCGGGATATCAATAACATTTAATTTTCTTACATTAAATTGTTCTAATTTTTTATTTATTTCTTCTAATATTCTGTCCGATTGATTTCCTATTTTAAATTCTTTATATTCTTTATCGGATAATCTTATAGGGTTTATTAAAGATTTTTTTAGGTCAATTATTCTTAACGAATTTTTATTATTTTGTGAAATTTCTTCTTCAATAGTTTTTTGAGTTATTTGATGTAATATTTGATTTGTAAAATTTAGTTAACTATGCAGATTTTGAATATCGTTTATGTTAGGAGTGTCACTGGTATTCCTTTTTTCTCCTATCATTTTGAAGGGTGATACCATTACTTCTTTATTTTCAATGTTAGGAATCTTACTTCTTCTAGAGGAGGAATTTTACTGATTATCTCTTTATTTTTTGTTTTCCATATTCTTTCAGCACTTTGCAATACATTAATTTGTAAATTTTCTAAACATTTTTCTTCAAACTATCTAAAATACGTTATGTTTTCTTGAATTGTTTTTAAGTGATTATAATATTTTTCTCGGTATTCCTTTAATTCACTTTGACTAAAAGTCTTGAAAAACCATTCTCTTTTTTCTTGATTCTTTTCATCTAAGAATTCTTGTCTTAAAAGGTCTTTGTTTATTTCGAATTTGGTTATTACATTTATTATACTATCATCTTGATGTAATTCAGAAGCAGAATGAGAATTATGAGTTTCTATATTTTCATATTCATATTCTGGCATTGAAATTGTGGGGTCTTGTTTTATTCCTTTTAGTTTTAAACTTCTATGATGTATTAAACTAGATTGATCTACTGGTCTTCTGGCTGTTACAAAAGTATTTCTACTAGATGTTCTCTTCTGATTGGGGCAAAAGATATTTCTACTATTCGTGATTTATATTTAGTTATATTTTCAACTTCTACTGGTTCTGAGGGTTCTGGTTCTAGTAGGTCTTCTAGTCTCCAGCTAAGACTACTAGATATTATTACTGCATTAACCTTTTCTGGATTTACTAATAACATAATTGTTTCATCTTTAGAGGACATTAATAAGGCTTCAACTGCCAATTGGGTTTTCATTATTTTATAATAAATTTTGTATATCATTGTCATAGGTATTGATTTTGGATTCCATATATTTTCTGGGATTTTAATATCTAGTAGTATATTATTTTTTGTATTATGAAGACTTTTAAGGGCTATTGAATAATTTGGGTAATTATTTATATATACTGGTCCATTATGAAGATTTGTTTCAAACATTGCTAATATTTGATTTTCAAGTTTTACTAATCTATTATCTCTTAGGGCCACAAACATTGGTGTATTTATTCCTTTTCTAAAGAGAGGTTTTATTGTTATTTTATGGATCCTATGTGAAGATATCTATATTCTTTTATATGTTCGACTATTAGTGTTTTTGTTATTAATGATATTTTTTCATGACTTGATTGTAGTTCTATTTCTTTGTCTACTATTTTTACTATATATTCATATTTAAACATGTCTTTCCAATATGTTTTATAAATAGTTGATATTTTGAGTTTTGGGAGAGTCCATTTATTAAGTTGATTTTCTATTTCTGGAATAATTAATTCATGATGTACTATGTTTATGTTACTAGTTTCTTCTTTTGTATTCTTATTTTCTTCAAACTTTTCTTTTCCTTTAGATAAAAGTTTTATTAATTATGTCATCCTAAGACCAAGGTCTAAGATGTTCAGAAACACCACAAGTTTTATTGTCACTTACTGGTCTTACTACCTAAACTGACTTGTCAATACTCATCTACCCTCGTAGACTCTTAGGCAAAGTTTAATTAATAAAAAAAATTCTATTAGAAAAGTTCAGTTTTCAGAAAATATGAATTCAGAGAGAATAAACAGTTATAATCAAAGTACGCGGCTTTGTTTCTTCACACTAAATAATGAGGAATTGAACTCGACTATTAATGTGATATGGAATTGTTTATTATGTTCCAAACAACCCAATCGGAGAGACTTAAATATCTAGTTTTCCAGTCAATATACTTGTAAATTTAGACAGTTTTTCTAAAATAGAGAATCAGCCTAAATCGTTCAAACAAACAGAAATGGTATCATATATATATATATATATATATATATATATATATATATATATATATATTAAGATGGAGAATTACTCTTAAATATAGAATACAGGGTTAAGTTTTGTTGGGTATTGTATTGTGCGCGGTAGAAGAGAATTAGATGTAGGAGGGTTGGGTATCTATCAATGGAGAAAAGCTTCGATAGCGGGATATAGGTCATCATCAGGTTAAGTAACATTCTATTAATAAATATACAAAAAATTAAAATATAAAATATTTTTTTATTTAATATATATTAATAATTTATTTTAATATTTATTTAATAATCTTTAAGTTAAAAATTAAAATTATAAAAATAGAAACAGTTACAGAACTTTGATGGATTATGTTTCATTTATGTGTAAAATGCACCTCCATCATGAGAAAACTCATGATCTATTATGTTAAAGTTTTAGATTAAAATGATGTCACAATTTTTTATGAGTTAAAATTTATCATAATATTCTGTTATTAATCCTCGAAAATATGTAACAGATTTTAAGTGTTTGAGTTTGATTTGCAAATTCCAAGAATGATGATGATGTGAAGGGAAGGAAAATGACGTAAAGGATGTGCGAGTCATCTAGTTGATTTTTTTGATAGTTCTGGAATCACCACTGGCTGTTTTTAATGAAGATCAATTGTAATGTGTGTTGGATAGTTTTTACAATGAAAGCACTGATACAAGCTATCCAAATTCCATAATCGTAATGGTTTTTATGATCATTAGATATACAAATATACTTGTAATTTTTGTACGTAGGATTTTACCTAAGACTAATTGCACTAGTTACGTCGTCATTTCTTCATTTCGCAATCTCTCTTGGCATAAAGCCAATGAGTGATTTTTCAGGAACAACCACAAATAAAGTTGTTCTAGGTGCACACAAAGAGAGTAGGAAAAACATCATGGAACTTGCAATATTATTTCAGAAGTAGCACAATAATTGTGTTGGACTAGACCCAAAAGGTTTTATATTTCACACAAATATAGCAATTACATACAGGTTGCACAATTTCTACCAACACATGGAAGGCAACTTGAAGTTGAAAGAGAAAGAAGAAGGCACATGTCCTGTCCTTCGTATATACTCAACCCTTTCGGTAGTCCTCAAAGCCTTGTCATTCAGCTTCACTTGTGCATTTGCCCGTTTCTCCTCAGCTATCCTCTTAGTCGAAGCCATTTTATTTGCCAACCTTTCTTGTGCCAAAGCTTTCATTCTCTCAGCTTTCACCTAGTAATTCAAACAAATCCATCTCTTAAAAAGCCTACTCAAAATCAGCATTATGTTTAATATTGCACAGTATCAGCTTTCAGAATAGACTATTACTTTGAGATGTTAAGATCAATTTCAGATATTGATGAACAGATTGTCTTTTATACAACTGAATTTCAAGATCAAACTCCTAATCACATGCTTATGTACTATAATAATATATTATCTATATGCAGGGTTCAATAATTGTGTTTTGCCAACACATTACACCGTTTTCATTTATTTTGCTGTGTCAGATAATAATAGTAAGTAATCCACATGGACACATACTCAAAAAAAAAAAAAAAGTGCAGCTGTACAAATGCAAATTGTACGGTTGTATACAGTGAAAAGCAACTTTACTAAAACTTGAGCCCACTCATGAAAGCAATGCATGTCTGCTGCCTAGAGAGGTTCTATCAGTATCACATAAGATATATAACACTATGCATCAGTGTACTGTTTTGAACCTATCAATTACAGAGAGAACTAGCTTAACCCTTGTGCTATTGCAGTGGATCAATGACATCTCGAGGTGGTTGCAAAATATAATTTTTTTTTTTCCCTGCATCGGGAAAGAATCCAGGAAGAAAGTAAGTATGAATAATCAAAGGTCCCTGCCATGCCATGTTTTTTTAGGAATAATTCTCTTTGTCAGGCTATATCACAGACCTTTCAAATCTACTGAGATGTGCTTTGGCGTTGTTGACAGGGCATGAAAAGATGAGCTATCATCTTCAGCGTTGGAAAGGTGAAAATCATTGATGACAACAAATCGATGGATAATGGTTGTACTACAGTACTACAATGCTAATTTACAACACTATAAAAGAGCTGTGGGAAGATCTACTTTTGGAAGTGCCAATTTCCCAATATCTTAATAGGAATATGCTACATTGTAAGAACACAACAAACTGAGTACAGATTGTACCTCCATTTTCTTCATCTCCATTTCAGCTTTTCTAATCTGGTGATTTTCCCATGCTTGAATCTTCACCTCTTCACGCTTGAACCTAAATAAAGTTTTAACAAGCAAACTTTGTTGACACTCAACAATCACATTAAATCTTTGACTTCACTAAGGTCCATGGACCAACCAAGAACACTAACTTGGCCTACAACATTTTTTTAAACAAAGAGTACAATTTCAGTTAAGTGTTTAATAATAAAAATAAACTGTAATATTACTAGAAAATTTGAATTAGTAACGAATGTTGTGTATTTCTGAAACAAATCATCCCTGAAATTTCAAGACTTTATAATTATTGAAGGAAAATCCAATATCCATCTATAACTTCAGTCACTAGTTTTTTTAGCTCAAAAGTAAAGTAATCAACCTGGCCATATATTTGGCACGTTCAGCCTCATCCCAAGCCATTGCCCGGCTTTCTAGAGGACTCATCTTTCTAGCTTGATCCTCTATCCTCGTGCAAGGGCTTGTTGATCCTTCTGCACAGTGCCTAGTAATGTCATGGCCACCCTCAGCAACTTGCAACCCATTTTGACCCCTCATTGGAGTTGAAGTCCCTGAATGAATGGGACTTCGACTGGTAGGAGTTGTGGCTCTAATTGGGGTGCCAGTTCTTGAAGGCTCTTGGCTAGCAATTGGTGTCATCTCAGTCCCCATGTCTCTGAAACATATTGATTGGACTTGAATTGTGTTTTCTGAAGGCATATTGCTTCTCCAGTTTGACTCATCACATTCTACCCTTTTGGCTTCAACTTCATATTGAGCAGCAGGAACATCGACACTAGCAGTAGTCATGAAACCATGACATGCATAATTTTCTTCCTCTTCCTTTTCACTACTTGAGTAATCATGCTCCTTCTGTGGCACAGGGGCTATCAGTCTCAAATCATCTGCATTTGAGTTTCTTGGTTTGTTTTTTGTGTGACTTTTCTCTCCTCCTTTTGACAACCCCACAAGCCACTTTTGTGCATCGTCCCACTTAGAAGGGGTTGGTTTTCCCATAGTTGTTCGATTGTGGTGGGAGACCCGAGTAGCATCCTTTCCTTTGTGAAACTCTGAATACACACTGTTACTCGTGATCCCTTGTGATGAACCGTTGTTGTTATAGTACCCTTTTTCTTCTATGTATCTCATTCTCGAAAGATGCCTTTCACAAACTTAGTCTTCGGAGGAGGAGAAGAAGAACAATGGTGGTCAAACCTCTACACAGTGAAAAGTTTCAGGATCTACTGCTTCAAATCCTATATGTAGAAAATCAGTATAATCTGTTATATCTTGAGATCCTTGCTAACACAGTTTCATTATCTTAACATAAGCTATATAATATATCCGCCTAATCTAGATTGAAGTTTGGTTAAAAAGAGTCTTGCATGTCTATTTAGTTTGCCTCTACAACCATGAAGCACAGAAATATCAGTAGTCATGTAATGTAACTCTTGTGGCTTCCTCAAGTAATGAACCTAGAGAAATACTTTAGTCTCAAGCATTGATTCCTGATGACCTTTTACCTGGGGTGAACAAAGAACTAAATAAGGTCTGATATACAATGCTTGAAAGAAAATTACACTCATTCATCAAGTTACACCTTTGAATCAAGTTGTGAGCTTTTTAGAGTTGTATAAGATATATAAGAGACATTAAAACAGAGTAAATGAAGCTAAAGATGGAGTTCACATAGTATAGCTTAGTATTTAGGAGAAAAATACCTTATTTCAGACCATGAAATTCTGAGAGTTGCAGAGGCAAAGATGAATTTTCAGATCCATTGAACATTATAATACTACCAAAATACAATGCATGGTTCAGAAAAAGGGGTATCCTTATGACAACAATAAATAAAAAATGGTCAGAGGAAGAAACATTTATGCATATAATAGCCATTTATCTTGGGAAATGGTAGACTTTTATTACTGAACAATGCAGGTGGCATGTGGGGTGGAATCCACATTTCATCTTCAATGTAAGGTGACAGAGGAATCATGGATTTGGTATTTTGGCAGAGAATGCTTAAGCAATATTTTCTAACCATTGTGTACTCTTGATAACTTTAGATACTTTTATAAACATATTTTTACTCATTTAATACAAATTATTTCTAGAATATTATATCAACTACATCTTTTAATTAATACAAATATGACAAATAATACTACTACTGCAACTGTTCTTTTTCGGTTGAAGTGTCATGAGATGTCCACTATAGAGGAAAATAATATTGTACTATTCCCTAGAGAAAGCGAGTTAAAACTTGGTTGTACTTTTAACGGCTACTAGATTGAGAAAAATAGTATAAAAAGGTGACAAATGGACGGTGGGATGTCTGCAAGAACATCGACAATCTGCTATGCTCCTGAGCCGAAGTAAGAGAGGTTTCTGACCTTTTCACGTGATACTCCTATGCTTCCAATGAGATGATACGGTCAGTTTCATAAATTTGATTGTTTTCCGAGGGGTCCATCTTGACCACAAACTAAGTTATGTCGTTGTGCACTCACAATTGTTATTAATGAAAAATAACTTAGCATAGATAGAATTAAGTCTGTTTGCTAGAAGCTCAATAGGAAATATAATTTTAGAGTGAAAGCGGATGAACATTAATGATTTCAACGAATGAAAATATGAAATAAATTTTAGAAAAACTGATGCTCGTAATAGCACATATATGTAAAAAAATTGCTGTCGCGGTTTGGCTTATCTTTTGTCTTCTCATTTCAAATTTAGATTTATAAGGGTAGCTTAATTCAAAGGTAAAATAAAGAAGAGAAACAAATTAAAAATAATGTTTTAAATTTAGTGAATTTGAATGACAAGAAAATCAGGAATTTTTTTAAAAGAATTTGTTCATTCACTGGACAATCTTTTCTCATAATGTCCACACATAACTTATGTCATTCCTGCATAATTATTATTTAAATTTAATTATATATTTTTTAGTGTTTAAAATTTAAAATATTCTTATATTAGTCCTTTTGAGTTAAAAAAAATTTTCATCTCTTAAAATTGAAAAATTATAATTTTATTTTTAAAAAGTAAATTTTAAAAAATAAAATAAGTTTTAAAAATTTGTGGAGATATAATAAGTGATATTATTGTATTTTATAAATATGTTTTATATTGAGAATAAATACGTCAAAAATTATAAATTTTAAAATAAATTATTACGTTATAAATTCATTTTATTTTTTTATTCTGGAAAATTTTATTGTATATTACATGTGAATGTATATCACTATTTTTTTAATATTTTCTTTTGAAATAATTTTTAAAACACACTTACAGTAAATAAATGTTTTATAAAGAATTGGACAGGTTTTCGAAGATTTTTAGATTCTAATAAATTTAATATTATAAGAGATTTTTTTTTTTTAACTCTAATGTGATAGGATTAAAGTATTGAACAATATCACACTATATAGTTCATAGTGTTGGTTCGTAAAGGTCCTAACTCGATGCAGAACCTTTGTAAAGCCACCTCCTGTTGCTCCTTCCATCCCATGCATGATGATCAACTCGACTCCTTACAAAGAAGAATTTCCTCTTCTTGAGAGGAATGTTGATCCCGTGTCAAAGACGACAATTAAACCACATGTTGTCAGACAAGAAGTCGGCCCTGATGAAAAACCAAAACCCTTAAGTCAGGCTAAGGAAGTACTCAATTAGCAAACAGAAAATATCAGAGCCCAGAACTCTATCCTGCAGCTGATAGACCAGTAAATAGACAAGATCTCTACACACCTTGAAGAGACCAATGATAAACTCTAGCATCTCAACTCCAATATGAGAAAGTACTATAAGCAACTTTCTTCAGAACTCTCAAGGCTAGAAGAAAATTGGAAAAACACCATTTATAGAGACTTTGAGGGAGTAAATTCTTCATGACTGTTAGCGCACAAGGTGATTAACTTGTTCTTTACTTCTTCCAAGTCTAGAGAAGCTTCAGAGAGGGAGAAGAGTCTGGGTATGTCTGTGAAAGATTTGAATTCCCTCTTGAACTTGATTCCTATAGGATGGATCTGAAGTTATTAGTCATGGAATAAATATCCATACCTACCAGTATATCCTTATTGGGAAGCTTTGGACTAGACTGTACACTCTTTCGAATTTCACTTTATATGATATTTCGGGTCTGAAGTTCATTTTAGTTTAGCAAAATATGTGAGTTGTGCCTATAAATAGGATGACTTGTAATGTTGTAACTCAGAACCAACAAGAATCAATCCAATACAAGTTCTCTTTCTAAAAATGTTCTCTCTCTAAGTTTTTCTCTTCTCTGAAAGTCTGAATCATATAGTTCTTATTTTCATTCCCTACTTAGATGTAAGTATGTTTTACACTTGCCTCTTATTGTTGGGAATTTTAGGGTTTTGTGTATATGAGTATTTCTGATATATCATATGTATATATTTCTATTCATATACTCTATGTATATATAGAGTAAAAATATTACAAAATATCAAATATCAATAATATTTCAATCATAACCGCCTAAATGAAAATAATAACCTAATATCGTTTTACTTTCTCTCTTAAAAGATAATAAAATCTCTTAATACATAATTTAAATAAAAGATAATAAAGTAATATTCCTAACATTTTTCGTTACTTTAATATCTATTTATTTAAATTTGATATTTTTCTTTTATTTTGCTTATAATTTTTCCTCCTTTTTTGTTTATATTTCTTATCATCTTCTTTTTTGTGTAGGATCACATCTTCATTCAACTTCACTCTCTTCATCAAAATATTTCTTCCTTTATCAACTTCATCTCTTTTGTTTCGTTCAGAATTCATGGTAGTACCGTTAACTCTTTGATGAAAGTTGGAAATGGTTTTTTCATCTACATCTTTATTTTCCTCCTTAACATTAAGTTCCTTCAAGAAATCTTCTTCATGTTTTTTCTTTGACTTTTCTTTTATATCCTCTTTTGTAATCAACTCTTCTTTCATCAAATCTAAAGTTAAACTTTTTCTTTTCATGCGAACTTTGAATATTTCCAAGTTATTTGTATCTTTAATCACACAAAGTTTGTGTTTAAAAGACACTTTATATCTTTTCTCCAATAATTGAGCAATACTTAATAAATTATGATTAATATCAGGAACATATAAAACATCAAAAATAAATTTGATACCCGAATGACTTTTAACAGCAATTATTCTCGTACCTTTCACATCCATTTGTTCTCCATTACCGATTCTCACTTTAGAAATATGTGATTCGTTAAGCTCTTTGAAAAGTTTTTGATCATGAGTCATGTGGTTTGTATAACTACTGTCTATAAGTCAACCTGTGGATTTGTTGATTATAAAGCATGTTGATGCAAGGAGAAATACCTCTTCTACTCTATCCTCTATAACTTGAACGACTTTCTCTGGTTGTGATTTGCATATCTTTTATATATGTCCTAATTGACCACATTTGTGACATTTCACATCAGGTCTCCACCAACACTTGTGGGTGTGTGATTATTTTTCTTGCAATAAGGACAAACAGAAAAGACTCGTGATTTTGTACATTTGTTGTTCTTGGCTTGGAGAGAACCTTCATCATGATATAGTAAAGAACCCTCACCAATAGAATGATCTCCTCTCATCAATCTTCTTTGCTCTTGCGCTTGTAAAGCATGTAGCACTTCTGTCAAAGTAATATTAGACAAATCTTTTGTGTGTTTCCAATGATGTAATAGATGTTTCATATTTCTCTAACACAGCTACCAGAATTTTCTCAACTATTCTGGAATCAGAAAATTCTTTGCCTAACAATTTTATTTTGTTAGCAATACCCAACAATTTGTTTGAGTATTCATTAATTGTTTGATACTCTTACATCTTTTGTATCTCAAATTCCCTTATGAAGTTTAGAACTTTCATACCTCGAATTTTCTCATCCCCTTCATATTGATCTTTCAAATAATCCCAAATTTCTTTAGGTGACTTTAGCGTCATGATTCTGGTGAGGATCATTTGTGAAACACTAGCAAACAGACATAATTTAGCTTTTACCTTCCTCGTTTTTCTTTCTCTGTGAAATTTCATTTCAGCTATAGTGGGATTTTTAGGTAGTGGATCAACAATATAATCTTCTTCTACAGCTTCCCATATATCCAATCCTTCAAGATAGGATTGCATTCTCA